GTTCCAAAAATGAAAAAAATTAGAAAAATTTCAATTTAATAATATCAAGAAATGATAACAAAATATCATACTTCCATACAATGCAACTGAGAGTATAAATAACCCAAATGAGGTCAACTGAACAGCAACCAAACACAAACCAAACTGACCTACAGACACAAAACCAAATAGAGGTGGACTGCCCTAAACTTAAACATAATAGAAATGCAATAACCGAACAAAACCTAACAAAATAGAAGCCAAATCATATTCAACTCAATGCAAATATATCAAAATGACAAAATAACTTAGGCTCAATTGAACTTAGCATCAAAATGAACACCCCCCCTCCCTCAGTCTTTGAGAACAATGGTATCTTCCAAGGCTTCCACCTCCACCTTAATGGTGGTAGGAGCTTCCACCACACAAAACCAAACGGGGGGCCCTAACTACATTAGACAAGGAGTATATTTCCCTCCCTAAAATCCATCCAATCGTTTTCAATGCCTCTTATTCCCACTGGGGTCAGCGGGACACAGATCCAAACAGCCACACACACTCACAGTCACTATTAGGGGCCAATCTGGGGTCTTCAGTCCACTTGACCCGAATGCTTTCGGACAATATGGAGCGAACCCATGCACTGGAAACGGGAAACCTCTTAGCATGAGGCTGGACGTTTCTACTTCTGCATTTCTAGACGGGATACGTCACAGGCTGAGTTTGTGGCTGAGTTTGAGAGTCACGAGAAGAACACAACTTTTCTGCTCACTGTAGTTCGTTCAGTTGTGATAGGATCAATTCTGTGGCACACTAGAGGATATTTGATCACCGATAGTTAAAAATGTGTCCTCAACTGTGTGAGGGAAACCGTCTCACAAGTAATCCTGATACTGAAGGTTTTTATGTCCATCACAAGTGCCTCGAAGACTGTTTAGTCTGTTTTATTTCCATCATTCATTCCAAGAATTGCCACAGAAAACACAGAAAACCTAAGAAAAATGTCCAATCCCATTCCCGGACAGCACAATATAACTTTTTAAATGTCTCGCATTGTCCAAAACATCAGACAAACCGAAATGTGAGGTATGCAACTTAAAACTTTAGGACAGAATTAGCATGATTCTGATGGCTGGTCAGTTTCCATTGAGGGGATTAAACAGGAGGAAGCAATTACCATCAAGCTGGCTCTTAGAAAAACCCAATCTGTGCTTTCT